GTGTGCCAGGCCCACCAGAGCCCCCGCGGAGGCCCCCTTTGGTCCCTACCTCCAGGCCCAAGACGGTCAGCCCGCGCTGTGGCGGAGGCTGCCAATGAGGCGGCCAGTGCGGTGTCATTTAGCCAAACGTTGGCGCTCTTGAGTAAAGCGTGGATCTGGTTCTCGGATGCTGTGGGGCGATAGCTCGAAGGGCGTCTGGGCATCGCAGTGAAGCGCGAAGGCCTTCAGGGTCGACGCCCTCGCGCTAGGCGGGCCTCGGTTGGTCTCGGCTCCCCGTGGGAACTCCGCGGGAAATATTCCGGGTTTGGAGGGGTGGATTTGGCCCCGGCAAAATCTCGAGGACTTCCAACGGGCGAGCACCAAGGCTCATGAAAAGGACCTGCTGGACCATGCGGAGTGGAAGGCCTTCACGCACCTCGTCCAGATTTTGCAGCAGCCCTTCGAAGGGGGCCACTCTGTGCGCCTCGATCTCACCGTCCGCGACGCGCGGTTGTTGGCTGAGTCTTGGCCTCGGCGCGCCGGCAATCTCGCCGGTTGGACAGGTCGGCGCGCTCGGGCGCCCGACGATTGGAATTCCGATTTCGAGGTGGCGCGTGCCGACGTTGACATTCGCGCAAAGGTGAGCTGGGGTTGTTTACAGGCGGATGCCCCTTCAGCCTCCGCCCGGCGAACGCGCGGGCCTGCCAGAGACAAAAGTCGATGGGCGCCGAATGTTGTGGAAGCCGTTCCTGGGATTTTCTCTGCGGGCCCGCGCAAGCTGCTCGCCGCTGAAGCTGCGGTGTTAGGTTAGTTTCGGGCTGCGTCGACGACCCTACAGGCGGTCGAACCGCTGGGCCGATGATGTCTCGAGAGTCCTAACTGTCTAACTCCCGCGGACAATTGGAGCGCCGGTAGGTCTTGCAGCCCCAACGCGGCGCAATGTTCAGATGGCGCCCGCGTTGAGCAGTACTTCTTGTCGAGTGGTGCTCGGCTGGAGGTGACCAGCTGCGTATTTCAGGCGGTGAAGAAGATGGGATTTTCCCAGGGACGGCCTTGTGCTGGATGCTGTTCCCGCTGGTTGATATGCCCAAGGGTGGGCTGGGATCTGCGCCCCTGCGCGCCCGTCCGCCGGGCTGCTGGAGAAACTTCGTCGACTTGAAATTTTGGATTTCAGTGGGCGTTATCCGAGGAAGTACTGGGCCTCCGGGGCTGGGACGTCGGCGGGGAGCTCCGCGCGGAGGCGGTTGAAGCGGAGGCCCAAGTGGTTGGGGGAAGGGCTTTGGGGAGTCCCATGTGGGGCGGTTCGAATTACTGCGCGCGTTTCCAATTTACTGCCCTCCGCGACAGGCCCCTCGCTCCGTGCCTCAGCGCGATAGTTGCTAAGGTCATTCTCAAGTTTTGGCGAGGGCCGCGGGCCCTCGGGCTCGGCGCGGGCCGCAGCCTGGCGCCGCTGCGTGCCAGTGGCGGCCCGCCTGCGACGTCAGCGTTAAAGGTGCATGCCTTCGAAATTTCTGCTGTGGGGCATGCGGCTCAGGATCTGGCGAGGGTGCTCAAGGATGCGCTGTGGGTGGGGCTTGCGGCTGATGAGATGTTGATGTTCGATGCCCTCGATGTGGCGTTCAGGGTCGGGCGCAAGCTGCGTGCTCTGGTTGGTCAGCTTGGGTCCCGCGTCGTCGTCGTCGTCGTCGTCTCTCTCTCTCTCTCTCTATATATATATATTCCTCTCTCTCTCTCTCTGCGTCGATCTCGCCCCCCTGGGGTGAGCTGATCGTTTCAGACGGCGTCGGGGAAGCGCGATGCTCGATTGAGCGCTACCGTCGTGCGCTTCCGAGGACGAGTTCCGCGCGGATCAGACCTACATGGGGCTTCGGGGGCGAGGTCACGGAGGTCTCGGGTGCGGAGCGCAAGCGTTGTTCGGCGACCCCTTGCGGCGCAGCATGTTCGCGCCAACCCCAGCCTGGCGCGTCGCGGCGCGGAGCGCCACTGCGGCGCCAGCTCTGGCGGACTTCGCGCCGCCCCCGCTGGGGGGCGCGTTGGAGGCCGCGTCGCGGGACGGACTGCAGGGGTGGAAGTGTGTGTGTGTGTGTGTGTGTGTGTGTGTTTGTGTGTGTGTGTGTGTTTGTGTGTGTGTTTTTGTGTGTGTGTGTGTGGGCGATTGCCTTTAAGTTGGATGTGAGCAGTGCCTGCAGTGTAACTCCCCTGCGATGATGGGCCACTTATCGAATGAAGGTGTTCAGCGACGCCGCGAGAGGGTCGGAGTGGCCATGCTAGGGCGGGGGACTGGGGCCCGCGCGTGCGTCGACCCAATTTATCGCATCGCCCAGCCCAAGTTAGACGGCGTTGGCCTTGCAGCCCAGGGTAAAATCTAGGTCAAACTGGCCTTGCCGGGGGGGTTTGGGCCGAGGGCCAAGCTGTTGACAGGGGTGTGTTGCCATCGGCTTGTGCCCTGAGCGTTTTCGGCCAGATCATGTTCGCTCCGGGGTCTCGTTCTGCGCTGGCCCGGATGCGCGGTCGGCCCGAGAAGGGGCAGGCGCGACTCACGAGTACCCTCAGGATGCGAGGGAGGGCAACGAGGAGTTTTGCGCCATTTGAAGTGTGGGCACCTTGTCGCGTCGCGGCCAGAGCCGTCGGTTCAGCGCGCGCCGACTCATTCTGATCAGAGTGGGGGGCCCGTGGACTGGGCCTCGTTCGACAACGCAGGCCCGCGAGTTTCAGGTGATGGAGCTTGCGCGCCACATCGGACCGAGGTGCTCTCGAGGGCTGCTCTCCCGTGGATAGTCACGGGGCCAGGGGGGTGATGGTAGCTTCTGCGCGTTGCCCTGTATGGCCGAGTTTGCCGTGGACGAGCCAGGCGGCCGAACGGTTGCAGTTGGCTCTTCTTCCCACTTTCTCTCCAGTATTTGGCGCTGCATGCTATATCGATTGCATGAGCGCGGTGGTCCTCCATGACGGGCCCCCTCGGGATCAACTGCCCCGTTGTCAAAGGTACGTGGGGCTCAGGATGAGGGGCTCTGCAGCAGATGGTCGGACGTCGGTGCGCCCCGGCTGCATGAGCTCCCGCTCGCAGAGATTTCACCGCCACAAATGCGTTGCCTGAGCCTGGGCGCCAGCAGTGCCAACTGGCATGCCGACGCGGACTCTGGGCCGGCAGTCCTCATGCGCCCTAAGGCTGCCCAGAATGAATGGGATGCGGTCCAGAGTTCGATTGAGAAGCTCGAGCCGGCAGCGCGATGTATCGCGGCGAAATTTCCGTGGTTTCCTAAGGGCCCCCATGGGCGTCCCCCGCGTAGGGTTCGTAAACATTGTATTTCATCGCGCCGAGGGCTGGCTCGCGCGGGGGGAATGGCTGTGGGGCCATCGGTGTGATAGCTGTTTGAGTTTTACGCTGGTGATAGAGACGCCAGACCCGAGGCAGGATGTGAAGGTTTCCCGCATCTGATATCTGACCTGCTGACGCAGTCTCCCGAGCACGGTCATGCGCTGGCCAGTGCGCAGGTAAGCGATCGTCCTGAACCGTTGTTTGGTTTGTTTTCGGTTGTCTTGCGAACATTATGCGCAAGATCGGTTGCATAAGTTGCTGAGTCGCTGCGCCTGTCCGAAGACGGATCGCGAGCGCAGCAGTGCAGGGAATATTGCCCTGAGGAGGCTGAGGCGAGGTGCGCACCCCAAACTCGATCGTCCTGTTTCGTGTGCGGAGCCCGAAGTTCCGCTAACCAAAGCCGAGGCGCGCGCGCATATCATTGTGTCGCGGCCGTGGCAGACGCCCGCTTCGGCATGACCGTTGACTAGCCTGGAGGCCTTCCGAGGCAGGATCGCGGCGAAGGAGGAGCTGGCAAAGGCGGAACCGTCGTCACAAACATCGTGTAGGCTGCGGCCAGAAAAATTGTCCTCCATCCTCCCCCTCGCCCCCTTCCTCCGCCTCCGCCCCCTCCCCTTCCCCCTCCTCCGCCTCCGCCCCTTCCCGCCTCCTCCTTCGACGCGCATCTGGGGGCGCTGCCACCCCAATCGGCCCAGAATGCGCAGCGCGGGGCGTGTGGTGGACCGACCGTATAGTCGCGCCCCCTGCTGCTGTTTGCTGGCCCGCCCCTGTCCCCTCCCCTCTGGGTAGCCAGGAGAAGGAGGAGGAGGAGGAGAAGGAGGAGGAGGAGGAGGAGGAGGAGGACCAGGAGGAGGACCAGGAGCAGAAGGAGGATTGGGAGGAGGATTAGGAGGAGGATTAGGAGGAGGAGGAGGAGGAGGAGGAGGAGGAGGAGGAGGAGGAGGATGAGGATGAGGAGGAGAGAGAGTGACCCAGACCTTGGACGTTGGTTCTATCTGTCAGCGCTGGTCCCCATGGAGCCTTGCACACCTTCCCCGGCCCCGTCTTTTGCTGACGGCCCTTGCCCCCGAAGTCCGAAACACCGCCCGCGCATCTCATTCGTGCCGTCAAAACCTGGGCCCCCCTCTTCGTCTTCCTGCTCCTTCTGCGGCCGGCTCTTCTGGTCGCTTCCAGGCAGGCCCGCGACGAGGTTTCGCTGCGCAGCGCTGCGGAGCACAGGAGCGGCCGCCGGCACCAGCACATCTGCCCCGCCAGCTTTCAGAGATCCCAGTTTAATTTGATGAGCCTGTTTCCATCACCACCACCATAAATTGGAGGGGGGAAGGAGGTTGAGGATGAGGATGAGGATGGGGATGATGATGATGATGAGGAGGAGAAGGAGGAGGAGGAGGAGGAGGAGGAGGAGGAGGAAGAGGAGGAAAATGAGGAGGAGGAGGACGACGAGGAGGAGGAGGACCCCCGCCCCCTCCAACTTGTGGTGGTGATGGTGGTGGAAAAGAGGCCCATCATAATTTAGTCAGATGATAGTTGTCTTCCTGCCTTCGTCGTGCACCCGGAGCCTTCCGATGTTATGCCTCCTCAGTCCCCGATCCTCGGGACGAGCTGGCGGCGCCCTCCAGCGGCAACTCCCCTAGGCGCTGCCTAGCCCTGCTGCACCCTCCTGCAGCCGGCTCGTTGGCCACCGGGAGCGCGGGCGGCTCAGGCTCGTCGCCCAGGTGGCCATCGACGGCATGGCGAAGCAGTACCAGATCTTCGAGGCGCCGCGCGGCCCACGCCGCAGGGAAGCCTCTTCTGCCGGCCTCGTCGCCGGCCATGCGGCCCGACGCACGGAGAGCGGCTCTGCGCCGTGCTCGGGTTCCAGAGACCTTCCAGATCTTCGGGGTGGTGGGAGAACGACCAATCACGCAGTTCGTAGTCAAGAAAGGAGCGTATAAGCGAAGGATACAGAGGCACATATTGGATACCACCAGAGGCCAAAAGGGCTGCCCCAATCCAGGAACAGACGGTCAGCAGAGAACACAGGGGAGGAAGGACTGGCCCCGGGGAAAACCCTGGGGGGACCAGGGTCTGCCGTCACCAGGGGCCCTTTCGCCTCATGCCAAAGGTGATCGGATGTAGTGGTTATGCGATTGGTGCTGTGTGTTGGAGTGCCTATGTGCCCTGCGCGCGCTGGCCTTCCACTCCACCTTCCCTCTGGTCGCCTGCCGCCTTGCCCAAAGCTGCTTGGTTCCCTGTCCGCTGCCACCCTGGCACTGGCTGTCCTGCTCAGCTCTCGTCGCTCGCTGCACGTACCGCGCCTCCACTGGGGGCGTTCCAAGAAGGGCCTTGCCTTCGCGAGTAGAAGGAGTTGTCATCTCTTCCGCGGCGGGAGGCGGCGGAAGGGCGGCGGAAGGTCGGCGGAAGTGCAACGAGGCCGCCTCTGCCGGCGGTAGCCAGCGGAAGCTCGGCGGAAGGCGGCGGGAGTGAAACGTGTGCCCCCAAGAGATGATCGGGCCGAGCGAAAAGGGGGTGTAGGGAAAGGGGGGGTTACGAAATTTGCTGCACGCAGCTGGTTTCGGCCCCGCCGCCGGGCCCGTTCCTCGATACATGGTCGCCCCTCCTGGCGCCGGGAGGCGCTGGGAAAATCAGCTACGTGAGCTGATTCTCTACCCCACCCTTTGCTATCCCCCCCTCTCGTCCCCGCCGAGGTGAAAGCGTTTCTTGGGGTTCAGGGTCTCCGAGACCGCCCGCGGGTCGCCCAGGCTTGCGCCCCGTCGCCCGCTGCGCCCTCGCTGCCCGCCCGGCGGGCGCACGGCATCGTAGCTCCCGCATATGGACCCCTGCTCCGCACTGCGAGGCCCGCCGCGCGCGCGGCCGCCCGCTCCGCGCCCTTCTCTCTGCCTCGGCGCTGCGCGCGAGGCCGTGATCGCCAGCACGGAGCGTCGAAGTACGTTTCAGTCGGGCATGCCCCTCTACATCCGGCGATCGCAGGCATGGATTCAGGGGGCGTGGATCAGAGACCGGTCCCGTTTCCATAGGAACATCGCGGAGGGCCGCCGCCGAGCGAGGCGCCACCGGCCGCATTTTGGGGAGGTGCCCGCGCCAAAGCCATGCATTGCCAAGCCATGCTTGCGCGCCCCCGATTTGCAGGAGGAGTGTTCAAAAATAGTCGCGCCGGCCATGTGAGTCGTCGGCTCGCCGCCCCCCGGTGCCACTCGCGGCCTCTGCGCTCGCTGGCCTCGCGTTCGCCCACCGGCCGGCCCCCATCCGCGGTGCCCCGTCGGCTCGCCGTGGGCCCTCTGCGTTCCGCCTCTCTCTCTCTCTCTACCCGTCCTGGCAGTATCGCGCTGCTGCCTCGGGCCCGGGTTCTGCGCGCGCCTGACCTTTGCGGCCCACCGCCTCTGTGTGTAGGTGACCGTCGATTGCCCACCCTCGGCGCGCCGGGATCGATGTGCTTGTGTGGTGATGGGGGAGGCGGGGGAGGAGCAGAGGGAGAGAGGGATGGGGGCGCGGGATAGAGGAGGGAGGCGATCAGCACCCGTGCGATCGGATGAGGGGTCAGACCCCTTTCCGTCTCCCCCCGTCATCTTCCTCCGCGTGCTCCTCCTTCCGCCTCGCGGGAGACGAGCGGGGGAGGATGGGCAGAGCCATGACGGCATGACCGAATCACAGGTGTAGTGTAGCAGTGGCGGCAGCAGCCGCAGTCGCGGTAGTGGCGGTGATGGCGGAGGGGGAGGACGACGACGAGCAAAAACAGAGGGGCAGCAACAGGAGCAGCAGGAACAGCAGTGTCGGCGGCGGCTTCCTCCCGCTCCTCATCTTCGTCGTCCACCCACCTCGAACTCCTCTTCATCATCCTCCATTCCTCTCTCCCGGAGCTTCTTCTCCTTCTCCCTCTTCCTCCCTCGCTCCCCCTCCCCCTGACTCCTTGTCCCTCGGTATCCGCCAGAAGCCATGTCAAGTCTCGACGCTTCGCGTAACCCCACCAGCGTTCAGTGGCGACCTCTCCTCGAGCACGTGGTGCTCCGTGCTCCGTGAGTGAAGCTCCTTTTGCCCTCCTGTCCCTCTCCCGCCCCTCTCTTCCCCCCTCCTTTTTCCCCCCCTGTCGCCCTGCCCTTCGCCGTCCGGTCTGTCGGGTGCTGGCGCCACTGTGCGACGCCCCGCTGTCCGTTGTCGGCTGCCGTGCTAAGGTGCGGTTCCTCGAATTTGCTTGGCATGCTTGCATGTGCGGTCGGCTGTCGACAGTGACGGCTGGGTTCGCAAATTATTTGGCTCTGTGCCCCAGTCAGCCCGATTGACCCGCCCTCTGGACTTTTCCTTGCGGGCCGCAGATAAAAAAAGTAACCCCACCAGCTCATCCAGAAACGATGCCTAGAGGGGTTGCCTCGATCAGGGCAGTGGGCAGCATAATACAAGAGGAAGGGTCCCCCAGTGGAGGCCTCTTGGAGCGTCGTGGGGGCCTCGTGGCGGTCCCGGGGGCCTATTGGAGCGTTTTGGGGGCCTCGGGGAGCCTCTTGGGGCCTCTTCGGGGTCTCTTGGGAGCCTCTTGGAGGCCTCGTAGGCGCCTCTAAGGGTCTCCTGGGTGCCTCTTGGGGCCCTCTTGAGGCGCTCGTGGGAGCCTTGGGAGCGCTCTGTGGGCCATATACGAGGAGATCGACCAACAAAATATGGGAGCTCAAATTACGACCCCCCCCTCCGGGAGCCCCAAACATCGCCTTCTGGGCCCCAGGCCCCTCTTGGGGCGCTCTTGGAGCGCTCTTGGGCGCTCTTGAGGCCGTTTTGGGGCTCTCTTGGGCCTCTCTTGGGGCCCTCATGGGCCCTCTTGGAGCTGCCTTGAGGCCACGGAAGGCCATCGGAAGCGAAAAGGCGAGAAGGGAACATTCATTGATTTTCTTTAGGTTGTTGAAGGATTTTGGCCTTTGGGCGGCCTCCCGGGAAGTTTCGGAGGCATGTTGGAGCCGTCTTGGAGCGTTCTTGGGGCCTACTGGAGCATCTTGGGAGCCATTTTGAGGCATCTTAGCCTATCTTGAGCGATCTTGGAGGTCATCTTGGGTTCTGTGAGGTCCTCTTGGGGCAGTCTTGGACGAAAGCGTACCCGCTGACACCTCGCGGGGCGCCCCCTCCAGGTCCAGGGGAGGTGGTAGGGGAGGGGTCGAGACACCCTCCTGGATAGCAAGCAGTCTAGCTCACTCCCACCCGCCCTCCCGACACACAGGCGACACCCGAGCCTCAGCGGTCGTCTTTGGATGGGCAGTTATTGGGAACCAAATCCGACCCCATGCGCGCGACGCGAGGCCGAGGTGCGCCACGTGTGCCAGGCGCGCCACGCGCGCCTGGCACCCCTGAGGCCCAAGCGTGCCATGCACGCCTGGTGCGCGAGATGCGTTGCGTGCTCCACGTGCGCCAGGTGTGCCGCATATTCGGGCCGCGCCAGGTGCTCCACGTGCAGGGCACGTGCAGAGTGTGTCGGGTGCGCCTGCGCACGTGACAGCGCACATCGGGACACGTGTTGGCCCCCACTAGCCTTATCGAAAACCAATGCCCCATCATGGTGTCTGGCGGGCCTGCACACAGCAGGCCATGCGCCACCACCCCCGCCGTCCCTGTCAAAAACCACTTGGCAGTGATCACGGGGTGGCCGCGCATGATCCAGATTTTGCCGCGAGGTGCATTGTGTATTGGCTTTTGGCAGGGATGTTGGCCCTGCGCGCAGCAGGCAAAATGCTGACACCCCCGCTGTCCCTGTCAAAAGGCGTTATGAAGTGCCTGCGGGCCTCACGGACATGACTCAAGACATTGCCCCATCGTGTATTTTGCATTGTTTTCTGAAAGGGATAGTGGGGGGCACCCGCGTCGGGTTAGTTACGCAGGCTCAGAATTTGTAGGCAGAGTGTGTTTTTGTATTGTTTTTTTGAAAGGGGTGGTTGGGCGGTGGGGAGCATGGGGTCGGCATTGTTCCTGGTTGGCTGCCGGTCGCTTGGGGGAGGGGGTGTATACCAACAGGGAAACATGATGAACGCCTCCCCGAAAGGGGAAGAAGGGAGTTGGAAGAGAGAGCTCTCTAGACTCTAGACCACCCACGCCCAGAGGGCTGATGGGACTCTCTCAGAGACAGTGAAAACGTGGTAACATCTCCGAACATACGCATCGGTCGTTGACAGTAGGTATTTTTGGATTCCCATATTCCAATCTACTGTAGGCGCCTTCTACTTCACTGATCGGGTGGCTTCCCCTCTTCCCTCCTCTTCAGGGGGCGGGCGGACACCCTATATACTTCCAACGCCTTCCCACTGCATGTTTTTACCTAACCCTAAACCTCGGAGAATAAGCCCCCAGGGATAGTAAAGTTCGGGGTTTTCGGGGGGATAATAAAAGTTGCCCGCCAGAGCCAACATAAAGAGATATCAAGAGGAAAAAACCAAAGATATCTTGAGGATTGTCTCGGTTGAGACATCCTCAACGACTTGCTTGTTTCGCTTGAGACATCCTCGAAATATTTGTTTGATTCGCTTGAGACATCTTCAACTTATTGCTTCTTTCGCTTGAGACATCCTTGAGGGAGGAGGAGGAGGAGAAAGAGCAAGAGGAGGAGAGGAGAAGGAGATAGGATAAATCCAAAGTTTAAAACTTATCAGATTTAATGTGTAAACGCTTGATGAACATTTAAAAAATCATCTGCTCGTGTAGGGTAGCTCACGTGCCTCGTTTTCCCAGGATAATCAGCCCCAGCGATGAACAAGTTCAGGGCGCCAGAGGGAGGAGGAGGAGAAAGAGATAGAGAGACAGAGAAAGAGAGAGAGAGAGAGAGAGACAGAGAAAGAAAGAAGGAGAGACAGAAAGAACTACAAAGAGACAGAAGGACATCGGTTTCGCTTGAGACATCCCTGAGGGAGGAGGAGGAGAAAGAGCAAGAGGAGGAGAGGAGAAGGAGATAGCAAAAATCCAAAGTTTAAAACTTTTTAGATTTAATTTGTAAACGCTTGATGAAAATGAACATTTTCATCTGCTCGTGTAGGGTAGCTCACGTGCCTCGTTTTCCCAGGATAATCAACCCCAGCGATGAACAAGTTCAGGGCGCCAGAGGGAGGAGGAGGAGAAAGAGATAGAGAGACAGAGAGAGAGAGACAGAGAAAGAAAGAAAGAAAGAGAGACAGAAAGAACTACAAAGAGAGGGAATGACATTGGTTTCGCATGAGACATCCTGAAACAACGTGTTCGCTTCGCTTGATGTTGTTATCTCAACATAAGAAGGAAGTAACCTCGATGGCGAACTTTTCCCGTGATAATGAAGTTCGGCCTCCGCGCCCCCGCGCCCCCGACCAAACTCTTATTGGTCGACGATAAAAATCTCTAACGACTTAAGGGGGGGGGGGGGGCACATTATTATCGTGGGCATGGGGTTACTTTTTCCGACCGATGGGTATTCTTTCTGCGCCGGGGGGGGGGCAGTGAAGAGGGCGTCCCAGGCGCGCGCACAGGTGGCAGCATAATTAGGCCTCGACGGCGACAGCCTGCGGCGGCCACCGGGTGCGAAGCCACCTCCGCTGGCATCCTTCCGATTGGGGACGTTATCGGGGCCTCGAAACAAATGCACTCTCCCACAGATGGGATCTCTCCAATGGGATCTCTCAAAAACGAAAAGACCCTGCTCATGGGATCTCTCAAATGCAGAAAATCACTCCGGAATTCCTCGGCGCCGCCGCTGCCTGCGGTGAGGGCACCCAATCACATTGGGGGCAACATCTAGGGGGGGAGAGGCTCAGGGAGGAATGTCTCGACCCCCAATCGCTCATTCAGTGCTGGCAGGGGCCTGGTAGCCCACCCCGCCCAGGAACGTGCGGTTTCGATGTCGGGACCAATCGCCGATCTATCGGCAGTGCGTCGCCCAGGGAACGTATCGACCCCCAGTCGCTCATTCAGTGCTGGCAGGGGCCCGGTAGTCCGCCCCGCCCAAGAGCGTGCGGCTTCGACATCGGGACCAGTCGCCGATCTGTCGGCAGTGTATCGCCTCCTCGAGCTCGATGTCTCCTCCTCCGAGCCAGTCCCCCCTGTCGTTCGCCCTCACTACACCTTGCTTCTCTTCACTCCTCGCTCCTCATCCACGTGCCTCTTTCACACAGGGTAAGGGCGTTGGTTAAGGAGTGTTCCCAGGAGGCATCCGACCCCGGCTGGTTCCCTGTCTGATGGGCGGCGGTGATGTCCATGGCTGATTCACGGCTGGAGCTCCCTCACCGTACCCCTTACTCCTTCTCATTCCTCCCTCCTCCGCCCGGCCGAGACCGAGCTCGCCTCGTTCAAGAAGAAGCTCAAGAAGCTCGACGCCACGGCGAGGCAGCTCACCTTCATCCGGCCCTCGTGCCGGATGGATGGTACTAAAGGGATCGGGGGTGGACAGAACCCCCAACAGTGACACGTCGATTAGTGAATTGTCCGTTTTCGGTTCTCGAGAGGGCGCCGTGGCCGTTACTTTTCCAGGCTCGCGCCCACCAGGTTTGGGCCTCAGGTCGTTTTCACTAGACCACGTTTTACTATAGGGGGGTCTGTCCATCCCCGAAGGGAGAAGGGGGGGGGAAGTACAGCCAAGACGCCGAAGTGCGGACCGCTCTGGGCTCAGGCGGGGCTCGGGCTCTCGGGCCGTTGCTCGGTAGCCGAGAGCGCTGCACCACTCGCAGAGCGTCCACTCTCGGGCCGGACGAAAGGTGGGGATTGGGAAAGGGGGGGTTACGAAATTTGCTGCATGCAGCTGGTTTCGGCTCCGCCAAGGGGTCCATTCCTCGATACATGGCCGCCTCCCGGCGCCGGGAGGCGCCGGGAAAATCAGCTACGTGAGCTGATTCTCAACCCCCCCCTTTGCTATCCCCCCCTTTCGCCCGACCCGATACTCGCATCGGCCGAAGCAACAAAAAAACACATCTGCTTGTCTCGGCGAGCTCCATCGCGGGTCCCCCGCGGCGGAGCGAGGCCGCGCGCGGGCAGCTGCCCTGCGAGCAGTGGAGAGCGCGCCCGTCTGCGCAGGTGCGTGCGTTGTGGCACCCGTTTGTGGCCTTGACCCGCCGTGGCCGGAGAAGCCCCCTCCTTCCGAGATTCCTGCCTGCTCCTGCGCGCTGCCTGATGGCCCGTGTTTTGTTCGGCTTCGGCCGCCTCGTCCTCGTCCTCGTCCTCGCCCTCGCCCTCGTCCTCCTCCTCCTCCTCCTCCTCCGCCTGCTCCTCCTCCTCCGCCTGCTCCTCCTGCTCCTCCTGCTCCTCCTGCTCCTCCTCCTCCTGCTCCTCCTCCTCCTTCTTCTCCTCCTCCTCCTCCTCCTCCTCCGCCTGCTCCTGCTCCTCCTCCTCCTCCTCCTCCTGCTCCTGCTCCTCCTCCTCCTGCTCCTCCTCCTCCTCCTCCTTTGGCAGCGCGATGGCTGAAGGTGGGAAGGGCGAGGAAGGAGGACGAAGCGGGGGGAAGGCGGGGGGGGGACACGAGGAGGTCGGGGGGGGGGGACGACGAGATGAAGGAAGGCGGGGAAGGCGGACGAACGAATGAATGAGTAGGAGGAGGACGGGGGGGGCATGGGTGGGGCAGCAGGAGGGTGCGGGAGGATGAGGATGATGATAACGTTGATGGTGATGGTGATGATGATGATGATGCTGCTGCTGCTGGTGGTGACGATGAAGGTGATGGTGGTGATGGTGATGATGGCAATGATGATGCTGCTGATGATGATGGTGATGGTGATGGTGATGATGATGGTGGTGACGATGATGACGATGCTGATGATGATGATGGTGACGATGATGATGATGTGATGATGATGATGATGATGATGATGATGATGATGATGATGATGATGATGATGATGATGAGGTGATGGTGATGATGATGATGATGATGATGATGATGATAATGATGATGAAGATGACACTGATGACGATGATGCTGGTGACGATGATGATGACGATGACGATACGGTTGATGGCGATGATGGTGGTGATGATAGTGATGATGACAAGTATGATGGTGATGAGTATTGTGATAACGGTTGTTTATGATGATGATGGAAATGATGTGTATATTGATGGTCATGGTGATACGTACCAAGTGGCGTGGACAATCACCCAGATCCAAGTTTTGCCATCGTGTAACTTATGATGTTCACGATGCCATCTTGAGGCGTTGCAAGACATGCGGCGCAAATTATTGCATAGAAATCATGTGGTGCAACCAGTGAGGCAACATACGGCGTGCAAAATCTGTGTTGCAATCGATATTGTGCACCTTCTACGAGATTGGACTTTGAGGGGACCCTGTCAGGTGGGGCCCGATGGTCGGGAACCGCCGACAACGTGGAATAATCCTGGACTTCGGGGTCAACTTACGAGATGTAAGAGCCCCTTAGTGCAAGCACTTTTTGGGACAATACCTGTGTTCAGGCGCGCCCAAGCGACTCGGGCCCTGAACCTCCTACATAGAATTTTAAACACCCGGTATTGAGGAGTGATGCTATGTTTAGGACGGCACTGGTTCTCGGAAGGGTTGGTAGGGGGCGGGGTCGTGTGGTATGTGTGTGTGTGTGTGTGGGTGGTGTGTGTAGGTGTGGGTATTGGATGTTTGGGGCGTGGAGTAAACAGTAGGTGGGATGGTGGGATGGTGCGCGGGTGGAGGGGATGACTTGCAACGGAGTTCAGTCTCTGAGGCTTGAATATCTGATTGAGGCATCACACTTGTGATGCCTTATTTCGTTGTTCCACGCTTGGTGTCTCAAGCCTCCGAGTCGGAGCTTCCATCTGCATTCCTCATGCTCGCCTCCTTCACCCGCATCTTGCATATTCTCTGGTTCGCTCATCATGTGAATCCTGCTGCCGTCCTTCTCCTTCTCATTCTTCGTCTCCTGTACGACACCCCAATGTGCTGACAGGCCCATGCACGCTCTTCTTCGCGGCGGGACCCATAGAGGGAGGAGGGATGATGAAGGGAGGGAGAAAGACAGGGAATGGTAGAGGATACGAGGGAGGAGGAAGAGGAAGAGGAAGGGTGAGGTGGGCACGATTTGGACGCTGGCTCGGGTAAGCCCCTCTGGCAAACGAAGGCTATGGGCAGCTAGGGTAATGCAGTGTATCGTTTTTGCACACTCGCCATTGTTGGGCTGGGAGCCTGGCAAAAAACAAATGCAGAAACGTTCCAGCCGCGAGGTCGAAACAGACGCAGCAGCACCTCTTCGACGTCAGCCTGGAAGGAACATTTGCATGCCTTTTGGGCGGTCGCAGGAGCGAAGTGTGGCACACAGCACGTTGGGAACGACCACACAGCCGGGACCTCGCCAGAGATGGCCTCGGCTCGTACAGGCCTGGTGCAGCAGGCAATACTCCTAGTTATGAAGTTCAGGAGGGAAAAAAACACAGACATAATTAATCGTCGATTCCCCAGAAAATATAGGAAAATATGGGAAGTGGGGGGGAAGACAAAAACCCAGAAAATATTGGGAAATATGGGTAATCTGGTTATTTGTGTCTTTGTGTCTATTTATTTGTGTGTCCCAGGGCCCCGTCAGAAGTATACCCCCACGGTTGGCGATGTGGAGCTCGGAAGCTCGACCTTCTTGTTGACCCTCTTGATCTGCTGCACCGT